ATTGATTGCTGAATTCATTTTGATCTTTTGTCACTGCCTCCTTTTGCTCATTTTTGCTTCAGATGTTTTCTCTACTGTTTTTTTTTTCGGGGGGGGGGGGGTGGAGGGGGAGGTGTCAAGATAAATAGCACTGTTAGAATTAAACCTTGTTTTGTATAGACTTGGGGGGAAAAAAAACTGTCTCTTAAGATGAGAAACTGCAGAAAGCTCATGACATCTGCAGGGGCCTGAAGGAAGCAAAGTGGAACGCCATTTTGTGTTTCTGCCTCTTTGACATTTGATTGGGCTTTCTCTCACAGCATCTTTAAACCAGTTTCTTGTTTTATGCATCCTTTGCATGTTTTAGACCCTTTCTACTGCCTGTGCTTACAAAATGTAAGCATGTTAATATTTCATAAACTTATTTTTTTTCCAGTTTGTTAGTTTTCTAGAGCTTGGAGCCTACAGAAGTATTATAGGATGCTCCCAAGTTTTAATGGTAATTTTTTGCTTTCCAGGATACTCAGAATTAATGAAGATCACTTTGGAGTATGCTGACAAGGGAGAGATGGGTGTCTTTCTAGGGCTAAGGGAGTGGTCAGATGGAAAGGTCACAAAGGTCAAGGCTATAAGGATTCCACACTCCTACCAATAAAAGGAGGGAGGAAGCCTGCTTTCCTTGCATCCCCTCCCTCCTACTCAGTAGCTGAACTTTCACCATGAAAGTGGTATCTCAGTTGTTTGATTCTATTCTACTGATTGAGCTGCAGATATAAAGATGACCATGACATGATTCTTGTCACACTATCTACTGGAGACACAGTTTTAAAGCTACTGAAAGGAGAATACCATTTCTGGGGATAATTCTTTATTCATCATTCTATTCTCTTAGTGAGGGTGAATGGTTATATCAGTACCCTGTGTGAGATTGGAATTTGAAAAGAAAACAGTAGGAAGACTTTAGATGTCCAATGGAAGAGAGTGCAGGAAAGGGTAGGGGGAGAGATTATGAGAATGAGAATATGAACGGATAAAAGAAGAAACAGGAGGTGGAAGCTTGGAATTGTCAGCAGGTTTCCAAATTTGGAATAGCAATGGACCTCATACTTGACCAATATCTCCTACCAGAAAATTCCATCCAATGTTCTTCTCCCTACATCTGATAAAACTTCCCCAGAATTGAAATATACAGACTTTTGCGATAGCTGTTAAGTAAAACCCACAAATATACAACTTTCTGATCAATTGGTATCACCAACAGACGGTACAGGGCTTGACCTCTGGCTGAAGTCATCCATTCTTGGGCCTGGGGAATTGGGAAACCCTGTCTCCCAGCCATGTAGGCCTCTTCCCTAGGTCTGCAGACTGGGTCCTCTGGACTCTCTCCAATCTTTCTTGCCTTCAATGTAGAGGACATGTCTCTGGCTTGGTCTACTGAAGTCTGCACACCGAGATAAGCAGTGAAGTCTTCCATCCAACCACCAGATGTGTGGTCTAGGAGAAGATAAAACATCTGGCCTGCTGGAATCACTGAGTTGCTGGAAAGAATTGCTCAATTTTCTTAAAGGAAGGAGTGGCAGGCACCCCAAAAACCAAGCTAGGATCTTTGAAGTTCAAAGAAAAAACTGTACTGAAGTTGAGGTTGAAAAATATAAATCACAGATTGGAAGCAATTCTGTTTCACCCCAACTTGCCAGAATCCTGAGCTGATCCCCAGGCCTGGGGTACACAGGTTGGCCAGGTTGGCAGGTCATCTTTGGAGAGGGGTGCAAGAAGCGAAGTCTATGCACATTTACATTTCCAAAGCAGTTCCAAACATAATCATTAGAACAATGTTGATAATTATACCCAGGACTCATGGAGGTCATCAGAGCGTTCAAAGGCCCTTCATCTCAACAGTCTCACATGAGTGGTAATTCTTATTTAAACATTTCTTAAAAGGAGGTAAACAAACAGCATCTGGAGAGGCCAGGTGACACTGTCTGATGATGTACAACAAGCAAGCATAGAGGTCAATACTATAATACGTGGATTCTCTCAGGCATGTGATGACAGATAAGATCTCAAGTCTCTCTCAGCCAGGGCTACCTTTACTGGACTACAATGTCTCCTAAAAACAGTCAGCGGCACATATGTCCTTGAGTTGAATAGGAGACATGGGTTTGTCTATAAGGTGGGACCCTCCTAGCTGCTACGTAAGTCACCAGTGCCAATGTACCATATCTTAGATTCTATTCCAGAAGACTAATGAAGGATCTCATGTAGTGAAGATGTCAGTGTGGAACTGTGAGTGGAATCCTCTGGGAGCTAGAGACTTCGGTTTGACTAAGACACCAAGGAGGTGCCATGGGTCATGGTATGAAGTATGTGATGGAGCTGCCGTATCTTGTCATACTACTCTATGTTCGGGCTGTAGACTATCTCCCAGTTTGTGACCAATGACATTTCTTTTCAAAAAATACACCTTTAAACATTTAAGAAGACAAATACATATATACTATATATTTAAAGAGAAAACAATCAAACAAAGTAGAAAAGGGATGAAAATCAGAACAGGATGTGGATCCAGAGAGACCCTGGTTTCAATTCTACTTCTGTCCCCTTCTTGGCTTGCAGAGGGCCAGGATCCTCACATGGCAGAGAAAGGGAGGAAGGAAGGGAGGGAGGGGAGAGAGGAAGGGTGGGCAGGGAGAGAGAAGGGGAAGGGGACGAGGAGAGACAGGGAGGTAGAGAGAGAGAACCAGCGAGCTCCAGAGCATGTGCACAGCAGCTCTCTGCTGTGTCTTCTCATGAGGGCTCTAATCCCAGCATGAGGCCCCGCCTTCATGATGTCATCTAACCCTAATTACCTCCACATGACCCCATCTCCAAATACCATCACATTGGGGGTTAGGGCTTCCGCATATGAATTTTGAGAGGACACGAACATTCAGTACATAATATGAGGTAAGCTATGCAGGGCCTTGGTGAGCATTTCTACTGTTTTTGTCTTAGCAATTATAATTTTTCCCAGGAAGGGCAAGGCATGTAGTGAGAATATCTCTTCAAAAGTTGATAATATTAAAATAATAAGTGACAAGTCAATGACATTTCAACAATATATAAATTATCTCCATGTGACGTTTCTGAGTTTCAGAAAAATCCAGAAGCTAAGAATTCACCTCTACCATCTTTGTTAAAAGCTGCAGTTAAAATTCACACGCATTCATGAATGCACTCAGTTCCCTGGAAGGGATAGTCCACAGGCATCCTTTCCAGAGGCTTGGGCAGTATGTAGTGTACTGCACCTCCCAAAATGTGATCCAAAGAGCACAGATGTTAGGATTAGACCTTTGTATCTGTCCGTTCTAATACTGTACCCGTAAGTTCTGTCATCTTTCTGGATCTCAGTTGCCCGTGTATGTTGTTGTATCAGGAAGATTATATGAAAAACACCTAGCACAGTTCTTGGCACATAAGAGGGTCACAAATAAATTACTGGGCCACTGGTGCAAAACCTGGCTTGTCTTCCTGACCTTGAGATCTCGGGCAAGTCATTTAAGCTCCCGGGTGCTCAGCTGAAGAAATGTTTCTTGAACTCTCAGTGGAGCCTTGGGAGCTAGACTTTTTGGTTCGGGTATTTATCTGCTGTTTCAACTTAGGCCAACTTAGGCCTCAATTTCCTCAACTATAAAATGGGAATAATAGGGGCTGGCTGAGTGGCTCAGTTGGTTAAGAGCACGAGCTCTGAGCAACAGGGTCGCCGGTTCGATTCCCACATGGGCCAGTGAGCTGTGCCCGGGCTGAGCTGCCGCTGAGCTGCCAACAGGTGGCAGGAAGGCTGAGCTGGTGAGAGCACATGCTCTTAACAATAAGGTTGGCGGTTCGACTCCCACATGGGATGGTGGGCTACGCCCACCTGCAACTAAGGTTGAACATGGCACCTTGAGTTGAGTGACTGCGAGGTGCCGATGGGCAGCTGGATGGCGACTGGACTTGGAGCTGAGCTAGCTGCACCCTCCACAACTAAGACTGAAGGACAACAACGTGGCTGTTTCCCTTCCCAATTCCCCAATAAAATCTTTAACAAATACATAAATAAAAAAAATAAAATGGGAATAACAGAGTGGCTGTGGGACTAAATGTGCATTCGTGATGCAGAGAAAGAACTCATCATGTGTATTGATTATCATTGCAGATTAAAAAAATGGAGCAGAGAACAGAATGGTCAGGTCACAGAACTAATAAGCAATCAAGCGAGATCTGAGCCCAAGCAGTCTGACTCTAGAGCCTGTCCTCTTTCCGTCTACCTGGCTGCTTTTCTATCTTTTTGTAAACCTGCCATTAATACTATTATGTTACAACTCGAAGTCTCTCCCAAAAACCCATGTGTGAAATGTCTTGTAATTTGGTAGTCGGCAAAGTTTTGTCTCCCACAAGAAACGAGTATGTTTCCTCTTTTTGAAAATAAGAGTTATGCAACTTATCATGTGTTCTTTTTGTCTTGGCTGCCAGGAAGCTCAGAGTCAAATTCGGAGCTCAATCACTGCCACTAAGTCGTTTCCTTCTTCCTACATCTTCCTTATTTTCCCTTTTAATTCATTTTTTTCACTAACATTTTCATTCATGTCTCTTGTTGCTAGAGGCCTTAAAGGTATTTGGAAAGTGGTGGGTGGAGATGAAATAAACGAAAACGAATCTGAAATTTACATGAAAAACTTAACATTTTGAATCTTACCTGTTTCACTTGCTAAAAGGAAAATAAATGGTCAAGGGAAACATTCAAAGAAGTAATTTTGGAGCTATTTTAAAGGAGAAAAAAGAAAATCAACAGAAAAACAGAACAACCAACACTAACAGAGGCCAACTCAAATAAAAGCTGCAATAAATATGTCTGAGGCTAGAAGTGTTTGTGCTTTCCCTGGCTGGAACCTATCATTTCTTAATTATATCCTGTGTGTGTTTTGCAAGACGTGAGCCGCTGTCAAGAGGAAGCCTCAGACAGGGGAGGGGCCAAGGCCCACCCCTCGGTCCTCACATACCTGTACAGAAGCGAAATCCCCCGAGGCACAGGCACCCAGAATAGCAGCGCCCACAAGAACAGACTCCACCTCTTGCGACAGGACCACGGGCATGCCTGTGCAGGACAAGGCCACACCTTGGTTAGGGAGCAGGACAGGGGCACTGTGGGGAGCCAGCAAGCAGCCCCAGCAGCAAAATACCTGATGTGAAGGCGGTGGCGGCGGGCACCCCCCCCCCACCCCTGCTGTTCCCTGTTCCAGGGGATTCCCTGGTTCTACAGGATTTCATTGCCTTTGCCTGCTGGCACAGTAGCCAAGAGCCCCATGGGAGCCAACACTATACAGACCAACTCATCAGACTTCCTTGCCCAGGTTTCCCAGGCTTCTGCTAGCTGCTACGTGCCATTTGGTTCAAGTTCAGTTCAACCCACATTTATTTGGTGCCTTTGCTGGGCCCATGGAGGACAGAGAAGAATCTGGCTCTGTCCTGCTATTCAGTTCTATAATTGAGATGCACTAAGAAAAGGGAAGTAAGTCGTAAGGGAGTGTATGATTAATCCCTGCAGTGGCTTCCAATTTCTCTGAGTACAGGCCAAAGCCCTTGCAACGGCTGACGAGGCCCTCCAGGACTGGCGCCCACCCTGAGCTTCCTCTCTGCTCCTCCCGGCCACACTGCCCTGGCCTCCTTGCTGTTTCCTGAATCTGCTTCAGGGCCCTCCTGTTGTTCCTTCTGTCTGGGTCACTTCCTCCTACATGTCCACAGGGCAACCCTGCCTCACTCCCAGTCTTGTGCAAACATCCCCTTCCCACTGTGGCTTCCTGACCACCCGACTGACAATGACAGCTTCTTACCCACAACGCTCCTCCCCTTCTCTAGTTCCTCATCACCTTCCAACACTGTTATGAAGTATCCTGAATATGGCCTGTCTCCCTGCTAGAACATAAGCTCCTTGAGGGCAGGGGCTTTGCTTTGTCCACCGCAGGATCCCTGGAATTGAGGTCAGTCTCTAGTACGGGGGGCGGGTAAGTGCTCAAATGATGAAAGAACCAATTTCTTGGATGGGGAAGGGGGCTCATCAGAGTAGAGATGAGGATTAACCACAAAATTGAAAGAGGAGTTGGGGTCTGCCAGGCAGGAAGGAGCACTCGACATGCCAATTCCCAGGGGTGGAGGGCTCATGGTGGGTCTAAGGTTAATAGAAATCATTTAGAATTCTTAGGATTTATATATATATATATATATATATATATATATATATATATATGTGTGTGTGTGTGTGTGTGTATGTGAATGTGTGTGTGTACATATATATATATAATAAAATATATAATAAAAAATATATATAGTATATATGAAATATAAATATATATGTATTTGATAATCAGGAGATGGCAACAAACGCCACAGAGGTAAGCCAATTCTATGGCCAGACCAGTACAATCTTTTTTTACTTAAGACATTAGACTTATTTTTTCCAGAGACTGGACTTTTCTTCCTATCTTGTCTGGGAAGATGCCCCTGACATAACTCCCTCTGCACGCTCACCACCCCTAACTCATCCTCCCACTCCAGGACTGGGTCAGCTGGCCAGCAGTCCCAGACAAAGTGGGCCGAGGAGAGAATTCCCACACTCGTCCCAGAGGACTCAGAAAGAGCTGCCCTGTCTGCAGGAGCAGCGCTTCAGGCTTTGATGACAAGTATCAGGTCGGTGGGGTCTCTGTGGAAAGCTCAGAACTGGTTCTATTAGCCATGTCACTTTAAGTCTTCTAGCCTCGGTTTCCCCAAACGTAAAATAGGGATGATAACAAGGTTTACTGTGAGGATTAATGAGACGGTGCTGAGCACGTTTTCTGGCCTAGGATAAGCCCTTGAAATGATGGCTGCTATGTTAGAATGAGGCCTTCTGCACGCACTTCACCTGGGCTGGGAACTGGAACAGTGGGGAAGGGACAGGACAGGTGCCCATCAACTGCCTAGAGAGAAAGGGCAGACGCCAGGCCATACTGAAGGGCTGTATTCGCCAAGTCAGAAGAGAGCCCTGCATGGCTTTGCGGAACCCGGGGACCATGCAGAAGGAGTGTGACTTGACTACCCCACTGCACTGGGGTTGTTTAGAAGACAGCTCCTCCAAATGCCACTCACCTCCCAGCCCCGCCTACCCTGTGAAAGGTCTCATGGGTTCTGAGCAGGGAGGAACAACCTGCAGACCTCTCCCCGTGGGAACTGGAAAACGGTGAACCCGAGGAGTCCTCAGCAGTTCTCCATTTGCAGCCCAAAGAGCTCTGGAGCCAGAATGCCAGAGTTTGAATTCTGGTTTCCTCACTTACTTACAATAGTTGTGAGATCCTAGGCAAGTTACCTAATCTCTCTGGGCCCTAGTTTTCCCACCTGCAAAATGGGGTTAAAAGTCCACGTACTTCACAGGGCTGCTGTGAGGATTATTAATACAAGTGCTATTGTGAGTAAGGCACTTAAAACAGTGCTTGGCTTAGAGAAAGCACTGCATTAGCTTTAGCTGTGATAAGAATCATAACAGCTCATCTTAAAGTTTATTTTTAAGAATCTCTGAAGTTCTCCTCACCCATTACCCTGAGGGAAACCAACTCACTGCTTCCATTGGCCTCTAAACTCAATCCCACCACTTTCCTCCCCACCCCTCCTCCAACCTGCTCTGGGTCCTGGAGCACTGGTCTGTGTGGCCCCCATCTGTGGCCCCCTTGTCCTTGGGCTGCATCCTTGACTAAGCTTTAGCAGGGCGGCCCTCTTCACAGAGCCCCTCAGTCTCAGGTGGGTTACCTCCCTGTCCTGGCACCTGCAAGCCTAAGGGTGAGACTGGGAGGAGCCCCCAGGGTACTGCCTGGGGGTCAGGGTTCCCCTCCACCCTGCCCACACCTCTGTAAATAGATCCTTTATTCGGCTTTTATAGTTAATCCAGTTGGAGTGTGTCATCTGTTCCTGCCTGGACCTGATTCATACGCGTACTGACACCAACATCCTCTGGGTCTCACTGTACCCTCCGGACATTGGTCAGAGCACCGAGAACACTTTTTCAGTGTGTAATGACCCTGTTGGCAGGACATTATTGTTCTTCATTGCATCCCCATGCTATTCCTAGTGCTTGGAGCACTGGAGTGCTCAGAGAAGACTTTGGAGTAAACAAATGAAGGAACGAATGATTAAAATAATGAGACAGGAAGAGGAAAACCCCCTATTGAAATTGCCTGTACTAAAACACAAAATCTAGGAGGAACATTTAGTCCCAAGGCAGTGGGGGAACCTGCAATTACTCAGTCACACCAAGGAGCTCTTGAAACCACAGTTAACTAAAGGCCCAGGGACATTCTTCCTTCTCACATAGAAGACACTTCCCAAGTTGGCAAAGCCGTGCTCTCCCTGCGAGCATGGAGCAAGCCATTCCCAAAATGGCAAAGATTTGCTTACAAAACAGTAACCTGCTTTCTTCCGAAACATACCTCCTCTTTTGCTGTGGGGCCTACGGGGAAGAAGTCCGCTAACATTTACTGATCACCTACTGTGAGCCGGAGCTTGGTGCTCACAGACACGTGAGTATTTATCCCTCAGTATGATCTACATGATGGAAATAATATTATTTCTATCTTTCAGAAGAGGGAAATGGGGCTCAGAGAGGTAAAGTGACTGTCCAGAGTCACACAGCTCGCCCCCACCCCCTCTTTCCATCACTCCACACTTTCTCCAATGAATCTTCCAAATGCCACTGTGTTTTTAACACGTGTTCCTGAGAATCATGTACCTGGCCTATGGTGCTCTCTAAGTCTTTCTTTGCAGGGAAACTGGAGCAATTACAGCGTTTAGTGGCACCCAAAACTCTACCTCTACACCCACTGCTGCAGACGTGCCTCTTACAGGCACAAATGCAAATGTGTTCTTTTCCCTGAGGGCTTGGGGACTGAGAGGAAGCCTGCAGCTTTGCCTGGAATGTGAACTATTTTATCTGATGTATTAATGAGTGGAGCAGAACCCAAAGCATTTAAAGGCAGATGCACTTTGCCATCTCTTGTCAGTCACAGGCTTCCCAAGGCAGAGCAACTCAACGCCAAAGAAAAGGTCCCTTTGTCCGGAACTGTAACTGGTCCATAGTCAGAGACAAAGGGTCCAGTTTCAATCGGAATCTGAATAGCGATTAACAGCCTTTTCATTCAGCAGCCTGAAGGATGGTTTCCAAAGCAGAGCTTGCTGTGGAGGCGCTGCATCCCTGCTTCTGAGTCAGCTCCAGGGTGTAGGGCGTGGAAGCGGACCTGCATTCAGAGGGCCTGCAGCAGCGCGGGGAACCTGGGCCCCAGGGTCACTGGCTGCCCTGCTCTGGAGCCCTGTTTCCATTTCCCTCGGGGGAGGGGTTAGCCAGGGCTGATCTTATCTCCCCTCCTGCATCCAGGTAGGAAGGCTTTGTGGCTATCAGAAAGGCTGGAAATTGGAAAAGTCACTCAAAGATCAGATTTTAAATCTGAATCTTATCTGAGTCGGCTAGCTGACTTTTAGGTCAAATGCAGTTATGGTTTTTCTCCTGGGGAAAATAACAAGGTAATCTGGGTACCGTTTCATGTCTTTCCACTTTCTGCCTCAGAGCGGCTCACTTCTATAGGTTTTACTTCAGGAAAGAAGGAGCCATTATTATCAAAGGGTTACCAACTGAGCAGAAAAGTTAAGAAACCTTGGTCATCAGCAGAGTATAAGGGACATTGGACCTGGATATACATGGGTTATAATCTTGGTCCTGCCCCTTACTGGATGTTTGCATTTGGACAGTCAATTGAAGTGACCTCCATGAACCTCAGTTTCCTTGTCTGTAAGATGGGGGCACCATTTTTTACCTTTTGGTGGTATGTGATTCATCCTGACACACAGGATTAATGGTAGTAATTCTATTCTTAACATCCTGACATATTTACCCTTAGACTATATGCTTTTTTTATACTGTCCTCTGGCTTTGGACCAGTCTACATATCTCTAATATCAGGATAAGCAACTTATTTAGTTTGATCTCACGATGTGCAGGGGTCAATTATACCCGTCACATTTGGTAAAACTCGCCTCTGCAGGAATGTGCATGGCCCGGAGGAAGAAGGGAGATACAATGAGGCAGAGAACTTGACCTACTCAGCTCTCAGACGCAAGGAACCCAGGGCATGGGGGACAGCAAGAGATGGCGATGAATGGAGGCTACTGCAGGGTGGGCTCCTATCAGGCGGGAGCTGGGGCCGTAAGCAGGGTCCAGTCCTCCCTACTTCTCTCCCCTTGTCTTTCTCTCGTGCCTGGCCACCCTGGGATAGGTCCTGAGAGGGGGACACCATTCCCCAGGAGACACTGGGAGAGAAAGCAGCAGGAAAGAGAAGGGTACCACGTCCATGGGTACAAAGTACAGACCCGCCTCTCTGACACCAGCAAGACTCTGCCAATAGGGTCCCTCCCCTGGGGCCCAGGGGTCTGCTCTATGGATCCTGTTTTGCTTTGTCTGCTCCTATCACAGAGGGATCAGCCCATTACTCTGGATTCTCTCCATCTGGGTTATGATCGCTGATTCTGACGAGCTGAGAAGGAATCACAGGGTATCACGGTCTTAGGTCTCAAATTCCCATCTGCAGCCAGACCCACAGTTCCCATAGCAGCTGGGCTCTGTGGTCCTTTAGAGTTTCCTTCTCGCTTCCCCAGATCACTTGTCCTGCACTATCACAGGTCTGAACCAGGGGAGGAGCCCCACCGTGCTTCCATAACACCCTGAGCTTTTCTCAGTCGGAACTGCTGCCACCCTAGATTTAACATGCCTGTTTGCTGTATGCCTTCCTCAATAGACCTTGAACTCCTCAGGGGCAGAAATCTGCCTTATTCATCTCTGTATCTTCAAGATTCCCCACAATGTGTGGATCAGAAGAGTTCCCAAAACTGTTGAGTAAATGCTTGGATTAGGATCTAGCCCTTGCTGACTTCTCGTCTCATTTCTCACCATCATTCTATAGTTGGATTTACATAGAAGGCACTTTCCCCATCATGATGACAAAGACTCCATAGTTACCTTTTAAAATGTACATTTTAACATAGTAAATATTCAGAGTAATCTGGCACACCACCTCCATCCTCCATCCAGCTCTCAGCCTGTCTAGATCGTGGCCATGACCATTTGCTGCCGAGCCTAAGATGACCTCCCCTCCTTCTCAGACTTACCAGTAATGTCTGCATGCATTTGCACAAAAAGGGGATTCTTGCTCAGGCCTCCACACAGGAAAAGAGTGCTGATGGAGTGCCCTGCTGCCTGCATGGCCTCTATAATGAGGCGGGTCCCGAACTTCAAGGGAAAAAAAAACAGAAGAAAGCATCAGAGTGACAGCAACAGTAAATGGTATGGAACGTTTATGAAGTATTTACCCAGTGCCAGATCCTGCTTTACATACACTATCTCAGAAAGCTGAGACTCAGAGAGATGAGGCTGTCTCTGATCACACAGTTCATGAAGTCACAGAGTGGGAATTCTGGGGCTGCCTGACTGAAAGTCCTCTTAATTACTAGATCTTTTGCTTCTATCAGTTGCTACACAATACTGGCAAAACAAATGGCCATGCTAACACAGTTAATAAGTTCATTCAAACCAATATTTGATGGGTGTCTATAGTGGCCCAGGACTTCTATAACATACTGGGAACAGAATGGAGTGATTGTCAACACTGCTCCAAAAATAACGGTCATTGGTCCCTGACATTTGTTCCTTGAAAAAGACATCGACAAATTCAGCAGCGGAAACATGGAGAGAGGGCTCTAATTGCACAAAAAAGGTGAGACACAGAATTCAGGTTGGCAAAGGGCTAAAATGGCCTTGATTATCACCTGGAACCAGGTAGTGGTTTTAATAATGAAGCTTCCAGAGCCAGAATCCATCCCTAGTCAGTCCTTAATGACCTGGGATGACGCGAAGTCATGTGCTCTGGTTGGTTCGGGGTTTCGCCATATTTTCATTTAAGCCCGTGTCTTAATATCTTTATAAAATGTTTTATCCTCATCCCCATCTTGCTAAATTTACTAAACTCAGTAATAAATGCCAATGCTTGGGAAAAGTACACTATTGTAGGGTCATTAATGTGAATCTTAATGTACAGTTCTTTAGTTTTAGCTACGATGTCCAGACAACTAAAAATCATAATTTATTTGAAAGTTCAAAACCTAGACATTCACAAATCATAATTTATTTGGGATAAGAATTAAAAACAAAAAAAGATGAACTGTGATATGGCCTTAGGATGCAGGAAAAGGTTTTCCTTTGGTGGAGAGATAGTCCTGAACGTGTTTAGAGATGGAGCAATTCTTGGGGATGACAAAGTCTGAGGTGCGGACACGGAAGTGAGATGCTGAAGCAGACAGAGCAGAAGGTCAGGGGAGATAAGGAGGTCAAGGATCGGGGAGGCCACAGATGGTGCAGCCTCCAGAAGAAAGCGAGTTTGGGCTGGGGAGAATGCGTAAGCCGATACCACAAATCAAAGTGTGACAGCACTGCTGGCAAGTTGGTACCCAAGTGCTCAGGGAAAAGAAGGCCGTTTAACTCGAGGGCATGCCAAATCAGAGGCTTACCCGAAGTAGAGCAAGAGGGTTTCAGAAGTGATCTGACTGTTCCCCTGACAACCCCCCGCCCCCTCCCGGCCCCGGGGCTGGCATATAGGGCAAGCCTCTAACAAGGCTATCTGGAGAGCTGTATACTCCTGAACTGGAGGTGCCTCTGGGAGAGGGAGTGGCTAGAGGCTGATCTGGGACCCTGGGGCATGCAATCCCGATTGCTGTGGAATAAATGATGAGGGAGGGGATAGTTCAGGAGCAAAAGCACAACAGATCCAGCCCAGAGGTCTCTGGGGGCTGCTGAAGCTATTAGGGAATCTGGTAAGAATATGGATTAGGTGAAACTTGGGCCGCCAAAGATAATCCACAGATGTAGTGTGTTAAAAAAAAAATTAAAACATGTTGTACCATATAAGGCCAGATCCTACTTATTGATTATGGCTGATTACCCCCAGATGTTCTTTCTTAAGCTTTTTGGAGGTCATAAACTCTCTTGAGAATATAATAAAACCTATTGACCTCCCCAGAAAAAAAAGTCACAAAATGGTATTCTGAATACTTTTAGGAGGTCTACAGATGCCCTTACATCCACCACAGATCATTTGGTGTCCATGGAATACAGGTAACCCTAGTCCACTCTAGGGACATGGATCTGTAGTAGCTAAGATCATGGCGGCTGAATTAAAAAACAAACAAACCTAGGATGGTATTAAGGCATTTCACCTATTTCCTGAGTCAAATCTGTGCCTAACTTTCACAGACTCAATTCTCATTTTTAAAAGGGGAATAACAATACCATATTTGTTCATTTGAAAATCCTGTGGATTGTCAGAAGCTGAAAAACAGAAATGTGCTCTTAGGCTTGAGGAAACATAGTAAACCCTCCCCTGCAAGGTTGTTGGTGTAGAGAGTGTATGTAAGTTGGTAGAAGAGTGTCAAGCGCATGGGAAGCGTTTAGGAATGAGAGCCATTCTGGTTATTAGCTATATGCTAGGCACTCTGCTATGCATGTAAATGTCATCTCTAATCTAATGACAGATTCAAACACTGCATATTGTTATCCCCATTTAGGAGTGATACAATTTGTCTAAGGCAATATAGTCTGTATGGAGGGGAGGGAAGCTGCCTCCTTATATGCATGGAAATGCCATGCAAAATGGATATTTCTGATAGTTCTAAAACCAAGGACCTGGGGCTCACCATGATTAGCGGGACTGATTCGAGGGTAATACAAAGCCGACTGCCTGGGAAAAGGCAAGAAAGGATCAGAACAAGAGGCACTCCCTCAAGAGGGGCTGTGACAGCCTGTCTCTCTCCCATGTGGCATTGTTGGCTGGAATTTCCCACTAGGGCTGGCAGTTAGTTATAGGGCATTCCCTTTTGCTGTCCCAGACTCCGCTCTGTGAAACGCTCCACCCTCCTTAAATGCCCTACCAAAAGGCTTTGTGCTAAAATGATTTTGTGCTTACCTTTCTGGAAAAAATGTTTTCACAGAGAAATTTAAATTAAAATTAGGCTATTCCACTGGGAATGTACAGAACCAAATGCAAATTGAGAGACTTCAAATGCAAATAGTACTTTTTAAGGGTCTGTTCTGAAAAGAAAACTATAGATGAACAGGCTATGGATAAACTGGGTGTTTGACAGGTCTTTTAATTAAGTGTGATCAAGAAAGAATTTTACTTCATGGAAGGTTTTGCACAGTCCCAAGTTAGCTTCATTACAATATCTCTTTAATTGCATTCTATTCCTACAAAATACCAACCATAGATATTACTACAGAGAGGAATTTGTTTCACTTTAGCTTATCAACAACAAGTAGGTGTTAGGGCCTTATTCGGAGCCAATAAAACAAAAAAAGATCAGCATACCCAGATACTTGTGCAAAACAGACTGAATTCCTCACAAATTGACTCCATGATAAAGTCTTATCAAAAAAATCTGTCTTTAATTGCCTTCCCTTTGTGGTATTATAAAGGTCAGTAAGACAATGGACAGAATAAATATGATCGTTTTTAATATATCATGGCCCATTCCATACAAGATTGATTTTTCTAAGTGTGTGGTATTTGGGAAAACTTAGCAGGCTGACCCCCGCCCCACACCACACACATCAAGTTTATCCTCATTCATCCATCCTTGGACTTGGCTGCAGTGTTCTTGCCAGAAAGGAGGCCTCTGTGAGACAATCTTTGCCAAATGAACAATGTTTTCTCAGAGGTCTCAAGTCAAAACCACTCTTGGGGATGCCTAGAGGCTTATTTTTTCCAGGTAGCTTTTATTCATAAAGAAAAATGCAGCATGATAAAGTGGAAGGTGCAGAAGCCTGGGAGTGAGACAGAGGGAGGTTCAAATTCCGACTCTGCCATAGACCAGCTGTTTTGACTGTGGTAAGTGGGTTTCCCTCTGTCTATAAAATGAGGACAATCTCATCTACTTACAGGTTACTGTCTTAAGCCACAGGTAGGTAAGGTGCTGTGTGTGGTGCCTGGCGCAGAGAGTGGGTGTCAATGACAGGGAGCAGTCACATCACCATTACATGACCCCTGGGCCCATCCTGTGCGGCCTCATTCTCCATTAGCATGGACTCGGAAGGGTGAGCACCACACAGCTCGGATTTTCCGGGATTATTCATTTCAATGCAAGGGGTTTATTCTACTGTTAGGCTTTGCATACAGTGACATTAATGAGTCAGAAACAGAAGTTCCTCAACATGCCACATATCGACTTTTATTTTACGAATCCCAGCTCTGGCCCTTATTAGCTGTATGAAGCTGAGCAATTAACCTCATTGAGGCTTAGGTTTCTAATCTGCGGAATAGGGATTATCATCCGTACCTCACAGGGTTAAGTCAGATAATGTGTGGAAAATGTTTAGCACCATGTCTAGCACATGATACCCTAAAACTGTATTATTATCACTATCATCATTACTATAAAGCAGGGTCACCAAATAATTGTTTTTACTACTGATGCATAGTTTTGTCCTTCATTTCATCTTACTAGTCATTCCCTTCATTTTGATAGATGTCAGAATTGCCTGTTTTGACCAAGTCCCCATAAACAAAGCGGGCTGATTGATTTCACGGAACTGGCCAAGCTATGAAATCAATAAGACAGTGGCCTCAGAAAAATACAAACTAGTCTATAAACTGAAAGGACAGTTTAGTCCAATGAAGTTGGCTGATTCCTTACTCTTAGGTACAATAATTGCATGAAAGGCCATATGTTCCTTTAGTGGTTGGGAAGTTCTGCTCTCTTATCATATGTACATTGCACCTGGACAAATCTGAACATAAGAAAAGCACTTTTGTTGGTGATAGAGATATAGGGGGGAAATGCATGTAGTTCTATTCTTTGAAGCACTGAAGTTATGAAAGAGGCATGAAGAAACAGAATAAATGAATAGCCTATAAATATGTTCACAGCATTAACAAAAATTTTGTTTAAACAGGTATTTTCCTGAAAATGAATTCTGAATCTGAATTTAGAAAACTGGTTTTTCCTTTCTGTTGGTCCCTATGTTTGTTCCAGAATGACTAAGCCTCACTGGATCAGCTGTGATTATGGGGCTCCAATCAGCTTTGAGACCCTGAAAGCCATGACCCAATGCCCACAAATACACTTTGTAATGTGTGCACACATATAATCTTTCATGAGTGATTTCAGGATTCAGAAAACCTCTTGCACCCACTCACGGATAACCTCTAGAGAATAAGACTCCTTAGCCAATCATGTTTGAGTTTCTAGGATTTTGTTTTCATTTTTGATTGATCTTTAGTTTAGGAGTGCTCAACACTTTAGATTTAAATTCTCCCTTTTCTCCTTCCCTAACCATCCAAACTGCTCATTTAAGCACCTAATTATCTAAAAACATTTTCATATTCTAAGGAAGCTTACCATTTTTGTTAAAAAGCCTACAATGAATCTTTTTTGCAAAGAACAATATCATGCATTTTATAAATTTGCACATTCTTAATGCTATCAATAGTTTCTCTCAATGCAAGCATATATGGCATCTGCTTGCTTGCTTCTATTTAATTGAACTTAGCAGACAAATACAATAAATGACAAGTATGATGTTCAAAGACTTGAACTCCTTTCAGCTTTTCAGCTATCTGAGGTTATTAATAAAGCAGGTGAAAACCATCACAATTTCCTTCTGGACAGACATGGATGTCTTTTTGGCAAGCTCCCTTTTAATTGAGAATCGCTGTCACAAAAGCATATACCATCTTGGGGGAGCATGTGGTCTAAAGTTTATTGATACTTTAAGTCTCTTTAAAAATGGCATTAAAGCGTCTTACAGCAATGGCTTGAACTGTGGCCAGGTAGAGAATGGCAAGATCATCGAGGTCCTGAGACAGTTTCAATCCGGTGACCTGCAAGGATGAAAACAAGAGAAGATGATGAGGGCCGAAAGGAGCTGCCATGGACGGGGTTAGTTCCCATGAAACGCGTGCAGATGTGTTTTTTCTTGCAGACCCAAGTTCATATGCAAATCCCCTTTTTGTGAGCTGAACGTGAAATGACTACTAAATTGTTTAATCTCCAGACCTGGGAAAAACTATCCCTTCTTAAAAGAATTGCCTTGCCTTGAATTAAACAAACAAAAACCCCCAAATACTGTAGGAAGATTGCATTTAATATTTCTTAGCATGGAATTATATTTCTTTCTTCTTTTTAAAAACCAAATGTTCTTTTATTACAAATATCCTTGGCTTACCGAAATCAACACGTAGCAGTAGCATTCTAATAAAAGATGATCTTATTCCGAGTTCTGCTACTGTCAGAATTCAGTGTAACAGCATCCAGGGAGTATTTGGGGTAAAATAATATGTCTCTGATACATGTTATACCTACTATGGGATAATTTAGAATCTGTGGTTTGTGAAGGAATCCCATTAAAGTCAATCGGAACCACATGCTTATATGGAGTATGTCAATCTCTGAGAGATTCCAGAACTGAACGGGGCACTGGATTTGGAGGACTTCGAGACTGGTTCCCAGTCCCGCCTTCACATCTCCCATTCATTAAGGTATTGTCTCGGGAGGTTTCTAGAGGGTTAAGACTGCTGATTTTGTCAACCCTATTCTGAAGTTTGTGGGCATCAATACCAGCGTTCACTTTATATTGTCACATTACAAAAATTCATTCACATGACGTACACTTCTCAGGGCCTACAGTGTGTGTGGTCCTGAGTTCAATGAGGCAGCGACATGCAGCCTGTGTTACAATAGGGGAGCTGAGTGGTCTACCCAGATCCCTCTCCTTCATCTCTCCAGTCCCATTGATTACTCTCTCCAGATTTCCCAGCTATGATTAAGGGGCCAGTATTGGCCTGTTGGCAGGGTACAGATACCATTCCGTTGCCCAAACCAGAAACTTGGGAGCACCCTTCCTGGACTTTTCTCTCCCTTCCTGTATTTAGCCAGTCTCCAAGTCTTGTACATTTGATCTCAAAAATCTCTTTTGAATCCATCCCCTTATCTTCATCCTCACTGTCTCTCACTTCCTTAACCTAGGCCACCATTATGACCTTCCTGATTGCTGAGCAAATCTCCATTTCTAATGGTGCTCCTCTCTACAATGGAGCTAGTGATTATTCTCAAATGCAAATTTGGCCATGGTACACTGGGTTAAAAATTCTCCTCACTGCCCTTGTGTCGAAGCAGACACGCCTTCATGTCTATGTGCTTCTTCCCAGGCTCACCCTGCTTGTTTCCCTAGCGTCTGTGCTTGGCCCTCCTCACTTCGCATTCTGTGTCCCAGCAATTCCGGATACTCGTCTAAGTCTGTTGATAAGGCGATTCCTGAATTCAGTAGAGCTACCTGCTCTTCGTTTTTCTTGGCAAATAATTGGGCAACTAGAGGAGAACAATGGCTTTGATTTTAACACACAGGAATGCGGAAGGTTTGAATGGGGATGCATCCCCCCAAGCCAATAACTCTATGAAGGAACAGCTCTCATAAGGCTCCCCAGGGAGACCTAAACATACAGTAAGCATGCCGGGACTAGTAAGCACGCATGAACAATGCTGACAATATAGAAGTTCATTTCATAATCTTCCTGAGGAAATGATTTGCCTAAAGGAACACAGAGAATGGAAGCCAGCACCCAGGTGTTCTGATAAACTACTTGTGTTAGCCACCATAAACTCAGTGCCCCTTTTTCCTTTCGTATACCGCTCTCTCCTAACACCTTATCCTTCTCTGTCAAATTATACAATTATGAGAGGACAGTATTTACTACCTCAGCTCCTCATATATTCATAGAGGCGAGGAGTCATTTGCTCCATGTCCCGATACCCCCAAGCTCTACACTTACCCTTCCTCATCAGAGAAGTGGCTTACATGAGAATGGGGCAGAAGTAGGGTCCCTGTGGCTCCTACGGAGCGTTTGTGAGAAGTAGAAAAAGGTGCCCCTTTAAGGTGGATTAAATACATAAGACATGCCATCTGGGAGAATGAAGTAGAAAAAGAGGCAGAGTGGACAGTATTTCAACCCTGTCATATGCTTCCTTCGCTGAATATCTTGTATGAGCCACCAGCACTGTGGCATGCAGTGGTCCTGGGTAAAGATCAGTAGTCATGAATGGTCTCTCTCTCCCTCCCTCTCTCTCTCTCTCTCTCTCTCTCTCTCTCTTTCTCTCTCTCTCTCTCTCTCTTCGGTACTGGCCTGGCCTCAACAGCATCTTTGCTGTTGGTCTACTGGGAAAGCCAACTGGGCCATGGCTTAGCGTTCTCTTCCAGAGCCAGGCTCCTCTGGCTTACCCTCCCTGATCATCAATGTAATGTGAATCAAGCCATGATCCTCTGGTGACTGGGTATGTATCTGCTCGGCACACCCACATCTCCCTACAGGTTGGTACTAAACACCAGACTTAGATAAGTTGTGATGGAGATAGGGGAGAAATTTGACTTTGTATATAAGATACACTCTCCTAATAACTTATTAGGAACCCAGTGCCCTATATAATAACATTGACAATGTAACTGGTTCTCATATCCTTCTCAATTAGTAAGAATCCATAAGACAGAAGGGGTGTGGTACCACTAGATTTAGCTTTCTTAATCTCCTGAGGAAATCATTTGCAAATATTCATAAGAACTTCCAAAAAGCACTGGTATTCAAGCAAAAAGATACTACGGATCCTTCTCTAAATTTCTAGTGCCTCCAGAGCTCAGAAATCATAGGGCAGAAAAGAGAAGGTAGTTTCTTTGCTCTAGAAATTAAGAATGAGATAATCAATGTAAATGAGCACTAAATTTAACTCTTGAGCTTGCTATCAGCTATGGAAAAAAAGGACACATGATGGGTGGCAGCTTTTTTTTTTTTTTCCTTCCCCTGATAAATAAAACATACCCATCCTTCAAGGGAGAAAAAGTTATTCCTGGGAAGAAGGTGCTCAGTACAGAAGGAATCAGCAAGTACAGTTCTCCCATAGCCATTTCCAACATTTCCTCACCACTAGCCCCAGGGTCATGGAGTTGAACTGTGACTCAGTGAAAGACATTTCTCTTGAAAGCATGACATTACTATGGGCAAGGGTCCCTGCTTCCTTGACATCTCACCTGATATGCAGGTGGAGACACTAGAAGGACAGATGGTCATTAAGTCCATTTGATTCTCTCAAATACCAGGGACCTCAGCCCTGCCTTGGCAAAAGCCAAGTGACAGCCAGCCCAAGATGGAACTTTCTAAAGAATGCCTGCCCATGTGGCCCACTCGGGAGGCTACAAAGGGCCTTTTGGGAGCTGTCTTGGTAGGGAGGTGGCAGCAGTGCTCTGAGAGTGCCAGGGGTGTCCTGGGGGAGGTATTGCTTTATAACCAGTGAGAAAGCTGGGATAGGACAGATGAGCTCACGCCCATGGCTGAAGGCTGAATGGTTCCATTATTAAGAGGAAGTGGGAAGGCAGCTAAGTGGAAGGAATGTGTTTATAGATGCACATGTGCCTATTTTGAATGTTTGGGGAAGACAGCAAAATGTGTGGGGAAGCCCCATGGGACAGTTGCAATGGTAAGCACATTTTATTTATTTTGCCTATTGTGTAATGAGGAGAACTGTAAGAGAAAACACTTCTAATTCCTATTTAGAGATGTGTGAAAGCTGCACGTGGTGGCCAATGAGATGTGAACTGCAATCGATTATTTCAGCATCCTAGATAATAGTTATAAAACACCTACGTAAAATAGTTATAGGATTTTTGAGCTTAGAAGTGTAGGTAAATGGAAAGATGATGAGCTTTGGAATAAGGCACCTGGGTTTAAATCTTGCCATTTTCCCTAACTGTCTGCATGAAAGTGTGAGTTTTGTAACTTCAGCTTTTTGCGTTTGTAAAACAGGAATAATAAATAATACCTTAAGGTATTTGGGTGAAGACTAAATATCATTTTCAAAGTGCCTTCCTTCTTCAGCAAGCCGTACGGAGTTTACAAGAGCTAGACACTTGTGATGCCAACTACGTATGCAATAGGTGGCACTTAAAACTGGTCATTTGCTTTCCCTTTCTCTTAATAAATGGACATTCTCTTTCTCTTGAATGCATGAAGGGCTCAATCCTATTCATTAATTGGAATACAGCAATAAAGCATCTCCTTCAACATGCTGTGGGTACCACAGGGTATTAATGAGGACCACTGAAGACTAGTGGCTATCCAGGGTGGGAAGGCGGGGCAAAATGTATGTTGACCATCAGCATCACAGTGTTAAAGGTATGGACATCTAGGAGTATGGACAAGCAGTGTGTCCCTGACAAGTGCCCAGGGATAGGACAGTGGGGAATTCACTTGCAAAAACTCTTTGGAGAAGTCTTAGTCCTTACCAACCTACACATGTCCATTCGCTCTGTGACTAGGAAAGGCAGATGAACTTCACCCTGCACTTCAGCTTAAATCTTGCTGCCACTTAGTAGCTGTGAGCACTTGGGCACATCTCTTAACTCTTCTCTGGGATCCCACTTGAATGCAGATTTGAGATCCACATTCAGGTTTACTGAACCTTTGGTATGACCCTAGCAATTTGCAATTTCAGCAAGGTCCTGATGAACAATAAAGTGTGGAAATAATTGTCCTAAATCTTGGCATTGTGAAGCCCTGAAATTGTTGAGATTAAAAACTGTATTAGTAATTTAGTTAGCTAAATTTTCCCCATCTTAGTTATTAAAGGAATTGAAGTGATTATAAGAAAGAAAAAGGGGGGGGGGACTTAGAAATAGATTCTCAAGGGGTCTCTAAAAATTATAAGAAATATGAAACATGATTCCCAGTCTTGAGATTTATCTAGCGTCATCAGAACATCAGAACTTGATGGGAGTATCCACGGATCAGGGGAATTGGTTGAAAGCTTTTCAGGACACAAAGACACACAAAAAATACTC